AGAGAGAAGTGCGAGTTTATGTAGTGAGGCAAGTATAGATGATTATTAAAAAAAAAAGAGCGGAAGGGGGAAGAGGAGAGAGGAAGAGGCGTTTAGAAGGAGTAGGAAAATGGTGATATCGCCAGAAGGGAAAAAACAGATAATAAGGATAATGAGTAAAATGATAGAGGAAATACGGGAATTAAGAAAAGAACAAAAAGAGCAAGGGGTAGAAAGTAGAAAGCAAGAAAGAGAGAGAAATGATAAGAGATGAGATTAGGAAGATGAGGGCGCATGTGGAGGAGAGAGAGGTGAAATGGCAGAAGGAAAGGGAGGAATTGAAGGAGATAGGAGAGTTGAAAGGAAGGCTGGATAGTATAGAGAAGGAGAGAGATGGGAGGAAGGAAAGTGGGAGATAAGAAAAAAAGATAAAGCAATGGAAGCGAAGGTAAGAGAGCTAGAAATGTAGAGAGAGTTAGAAGAGAGAGACAGAAGGAGGAACAATGTAGTAATGAAAAAGGTAGAGGTGGAGGAGGGAAGGCTAAAAGGAGCGGTAGAGAAGCTATGGCTAGAGACGGGGGTAGAGAGAGGAATAGAGGAGGTAAAAGAGATAGGAAGAAAAACGGGGAAAGAAAAGAAGATGGTTTTAGTTAGTTTAAAAGATAGAGTAAGAAAAAGAGAGGTAATACAGAGAAAGAATGTGTGGAAAGGGAGGATGGAAAGAATAAAGGATGACATAATCTTGAAGGAAAGAAAAATGTAATGGAGCCTGGAGAGGATAGCTGAGAAGGAGAGAAAGAATAGGAGGAAAGCTTGGATAAAGTACGGAAAGATTTCGATAAAGGGGATGTGGTGGAGTTGGGATGAGAAAAAAGAAGTCATGACAGATGGAAGAGGAAATGAGAAAGAGGAACAAGAAGAAGGAGGGGGAAGAAAAAGGAACAGAGGAAGAGAGAAAGAGTGGAAAAGAGGGAGACGGAAAAATGAAAAGGGAGGATGTGAGAAGGGAGGAAAAACGATGGGAGGGTAGGGCGGAAAGAAGAGGGAGAGTAGGAAAAAAGGGAGTGTGGTGGTGAGGCTGAGGGGAGGGGGGGAAAGGAGTCAGAGAGAGTAAAGTAAGAAAAGTAAAAAGGAGTGAAAGAGAGGAAAAAGAGGGGTGAAAAAGAGAAGGGGGAAGAAAGGAATTAAGGAGGGAGGAAGAAAGGAAGGAACAGGAAGGAAGCCTAAAGATAGGCTTTTGGAATGTAGCGGGAGTGAAGGAAAAACAGGAAGGGTTTTGGGAAAGGATTAAAGAGTGTGATGTCGTGGGGTTGGTGGAGACGTGGCTGAAACAGGAGGAATGGGAGAAGATAAAGAATAGGGTGCCAAAGAAGTTCAACTGGCGTATACAGGGTGCAAAGAAAGAAATAACTGGAAGAAAAGAAAGAGCAATAGGTGGAATAATGATGGAAGTCAGAGAAAGGTTAGAAGAGGAAGAAGAATGGGTGGAGGTTTAATGATTATAGAAGTAAGATGGAAGAAGGAGAAATGGAGATTGGCAACAGTTTACGTAAGCGGCAACTTGGACAAGATGATGGGTAAGATAAAATCGGTAAAAGAGGAGGAAAGGAGAGAGGAGAGATGGATAGTAGGGGCGATTTCAATGCGAGAACAGGAGAAAAAAAAGCGCTGAAGGAGCAATGGAGGAAGATGAGGAGGGGGAGGTGACTTTTACAGGAGAAAGGGGGGAAACAGTGATCAATTACGCAATAGGAGATAGAAATGCTTGGGAAAGAGTGACAAGATTAGAGGTGAGGTGTGAGGTAGATTCGGATCACCAATCAATAGCAGTACGGTTGGACAAAGGGGGTGGTGGTGAGAGGAGAGGGACAATAGCGGAGAAAGAGAGGTGGGTGGAAAAGACGGACTGGTCGGAAGAGGCAAGAGAGGAGTTTTGAAAAAGGACGGAGGAGGTAGAAATAGGTAGGGGGGCAATAGATAAAGAGGTCAAAAAGTTGACAAAAAGAATTAAGATAGAAGTAAGGGTGAGAAGAGTAAAAAGAGGGGCAGAAGGAAAGGGTGGGATGGGGACTGTAGGAAGAAGAGGGAGGAGATAGAAAAATTATTAAGAGACTGGAAAAGAGAAAGAAAACACAAAGAAGATCATAAGAGAAGAAAGGAGTATAAGGAAAAGTGTGAAGAAAAAGGAAGAAAAAAGAGAAATTTGCTGAAAGAGGCAAGAGAGGCGAGAACAGAGAAGCAGGTGTGGGAAGTAATAAACAAGGAAAGGAGAAGAAGGGTAGAAATTAATAAGGAAATAACATTAGAGGAGTGGGATAAATACTTTAGGAAGATGTTAGAAGGAACGGAATACAAGCGAAGGCTAGGAGAAGGAGAGTTGGGAAAGCAGGGGGCGGAGGGAGAAGTGGAGAAAGAGAAGAAGATAGGATGGGAGGAAGTAGAGAGAATATTGAAAGGGCTGAAAAAAGGTAAAGCGGCGGGAGAGGACGAGATAGGAAATGAAGTGTAAAGTTATGGGGGAAGTGGTTTAAGAAAGGCGTTATGGGAGAGTATATATGGAAAGGAGAGGGTTTACACACTTACACATTTACACACTGAATTATGCGATAGGGAAGCGATTAAAGAGGAAAAAGAAGGTAGTAGCTGCTTTTGTAGATCCAAGGGCGGCATTTGATTCAGTGAACAGGAGGGTTTTGGGAAGATGTCTGAAAAAACCAGGGGTGAGTGAGAGGTTGGGAAAGAGAATCATGGAAATATACGTGAAAACAAGGAGTGTAGTGAGGGTGGAGAAAAGATACGGAAGGAAATTTTGGACAGCAAGAGGGATAAACGGAAAAATTAACAGACCCGATCAGGATTTAAACTTGAAACCTTTCGTTTTCTACCTTCGTAGTTTGTTACTGTGTGTTGCTTCACAATTGCTTTACCCCACATAGCAAAATGTTGGCAGTATGCCGACAGCATGCCAGTAAATTTATCTCATAATTTTGCAGCAAGATCTTCTTGTGCTGTGTTTTTTATTCTATTTTATTTGATTTTTACTACCTTATAATCCGTTTTATCAATAAGTATACCAGTTTACGTTGCATCTTAATTTTATATTTAAATATAAACCTGCATTATATATATGAAAAAAATAAAAAGAAAGAAAACTTTAAATAGTTTTAGGACGTTACAAACATGTAAAATGATCTAATATTATCAATAATATATTCATTATTATTTAAACTGTACAATTAGTAAAAGAGATTTAGGTAAATTTTATTTTTAATAATTGCTTTTGAATGATTTGTTTTTAGCAGATTTTATATATACTAGACACTACAGACGCGCGCGCTTCGCGCGCGCCATTTAGCTTTAACATTATGCTATTATATAATAATCGCGACACGACGCGGGACGATTAACCTCGCGACACGACGCGAGCTGTCACATCATGACACACACGACGCACTATACACGCACGAAACTCGCCACACTCCGCGATGACAGTCCCTCACGGGATGAAGCAAGCTACGCGGCGCGGCAATCAATCGAGATAGCCAATCGGCATCGCGGAAAAGGAGGCTTCAATTTTACGATACAAACGAAATTCACTCAGGTAACACGCCTTTTTTATAAATGGAAAAATCGCACGATGCGTGCGTGCGGTCGATACGATGCGGCGATCGAGATTGCGCTGCGAGTTTCGCGTGCGTGTATGTATGTACATATGTGTATGTGTCGTGTGATGTGACAGCTGGCATCGGTTGCGCGAGGTTAGTGGGATTATTTTTATATATAAATATGTATGTGTCGTGTGATGTGACAGCTGGCATCGGTTGCGCGAGGTTAGTGGGATTATTTATATAAATATATATAAATTATATTTTACATATTAATATCTTTTAACGTCATTTGTAATGTTTCAATATTTATTGCTTGCTCGTACAAATCTAATCTGGTATACGTTACAGTAACTATAGATGTTTGATACAGATTTATCTTTGTAATCGTATATTTTATATACATATATATCGTATATTATATATAAGCAGACGTAAGTAATAATTACTGTTTTTACATTTGCATTATGTATAAAATTTGTCTTATTTTAGATATACCGATGAATTTAAAATATTCGAGAACATATGATGGGATTAGCTATTGGTGCTCATGGTGCAAATATATTCAACAAGCGTAAAATGTTGATGACATTACAAATATCGTTAGAAGAAAATTCATGCACATTTAAGATATAATATAGAGAGGTAATTATAAAAATTATATTATCGCTTGTATTATTTCAAAGAGTATTGTTTTATAAAAGTTTACTGACTGTTTTTATCTAAAATGTATATACATATTCGTATATGTATATGTTGCATTATATTGAGTTGGTACTTATCAGATTTTTTTCTCAATCACAGACGTATGAAGCTGTTAAGAAAGACCGAATTATGCTGGAATACAGCGATAACCTAGAAATAGATAGATAGTGACAGTCGTGACCATCGCCGCGTCATAGATACTTAGTGATAGTGAAATATATATTGACGGCAGAGAGCTGATGCCGATTTTCTTTAAGAAGGAAGGTGTATCCAAAATCGCACACGTACGTATATAGTAAAAGTTAGGAGAACGAGAAAGTGATCTGTATCTATGTGCACGTTGTGATAGGCACTATCGCGTAATAAAGATTTCTCCGAAGTATGTTTATATTGTACTTTACTTTCGTTAACTTAGATGCTTTGAATGTACAATCTCGCATCTTCAAAATATAATAATTCTCATTGTCCGAAACTGTTGAGGCATAATTGTCTAGCACAAGAGGTCCTCTTGTGCTAGATAATACGAGTTGCTACAGAGTGCCTCTAATTGTAAGAATTTCTTCTCCTTTACCCCTTCTTTCTTCCCCCATTCCCGAATTTACACTATTGCGTGGTTTGTATCGCGTGTCATTACCTATTATAAATGTCCTCCTTTTCTCTCGTTTTCTCACGCAGGAACATTTTATATTCAACTACGTGGTATACAATTTTGCCGTTATATATTGACCGCAGGAAGCTGATACCGAAGAGATCTTTAAGAAGGAAGGTGTATCCAAAATTGCACATGTATGTACGTATATGCTTTCTTGTAAATTGTAAAAGTTGAAAAGAACGAGAAAGTGTTCTGTAGCGCAATTTGTATTGTAGGCAAATTATGCTAAAATATTTGTGAATTGAGTCCCTATTATCCATTATTATGATATAATTTTTATCAACAATATTAGAGAAGTAACAAAAATTAATTTTATTAAGTATTCAAAGCAATTGAGAGTTTTTAGCATTAAGTATTTCCATTTTCTCATAATATGCTTAAAAAATATTGCAGGGGACTTGTGAGTTATGCGAAGCAATTGATACTATTAAGGTTCATTTGTCGTATGAAGTTTGCACACGTCAAACTTAACATCCTAAAGGTCACGATGCATTCTGAAAACGATACCGTGCAGGTTTGTTGGCGTATACGTGGTGTCACAGGCTGGAAGGTATTTTCTACGTTTTGGAAGTAAAATTTGGAAAATACAACATG